ATTCGATTTCCGATTTTTCATTACAATTGCAAGCGCCATACGCGCGTGTGGACCGAAGACTGCGGGTGGGAAATTAGGAACCAGTAAACTTTCTTTTTTACAAGCGGCCCGCTCCGGCTCCGCTCGGGTCTTTAACAAAAATTTCAACGATATTTGACGTTTTATTTTTTTAAATAAAATATCACGTATTGCGGCATAACTATAATAGTTAGAAATATGCTGCCGCGACACTTTTTGTAAATAATAATGTGTTCTACAAAGTCCTAGTACATTATTTTATTCAATCGTCAATAGTTTTCGAGGGCACGCGATGTAAAGAATATATTAAGTATTTTATTTACATTTTGGGTTACATTATTGGAGTTTTAGTAAGGATCCCTAATTTTTTTCAAAAAGGATGCCTATTTCACTCTGGAATGGTGTAGCTTCCAAACAGTGAAAGAATTTTTCAAATCGGTTCAGGAGTTTCGGAGCCTATTCAATACAAACAAACAAACAAATCTTTCCTCTCTATTAAATTAGTATAGGTAAGTTTACTCGTATCATTCCATGAGTACCAAGAGTAATCCTTAGGTCCAGAGATTCTTCGGAAACCTGCCGTGATATTGTGATTATCAACAGCCGCATATTAGGAACCAGTAAACTTTCTATTTCATAAGTTTACTCGTATCATTCCATGAGTACCAAGAGTAATCCTTAGGTCCAGAGATTCTTCCGAAACCTGCCGTGATATTGTGATTATCAACAGCCGCATATTAGGAACCAGTAAACATTCTATTTCATAAGTTTACTCGTATCATTCCATGAGTACCATGAGTAATCCTTAGGTCCAGAGATTCTTCCGAAACCTGCCGTGATATTGTGATTATCAACAGCCGCATATTAGGAACCAGTAAACATTCTATTTCATAAGTTTACTCGTATCATTCCATGAGTACCATGAGTAATCCTTAGGTCCAGAGATTCTTCCGAAACCTGCCGTGATATTGTGATTATCAACAGCCGCATATTAGGAACCAGTAAACATTCTATTTCATAAGTTTACTCGTATCATTCCATGAGTACCAAGAGTAATCCTTAGGTCCAGAGATTCTTCCGAAGCCAGCCGTGATCCGAACGGCCCTACTCATGCCACATCTGAGACATCGATAATAACACACGAGCTATAAAGAGAATTTCGCAAACCGACATACGCATTGCACAGTACCGCGGTGTTATTACGAAACAATGACACTCAACACTCATGTCACACAACGGTTACATTCTAGGAAAATATTAAAACTGAATTGGCAAAATTTGGCTTAGAGCTCTGTTATCATAGCAGTATGGATCACGTTTCCATTTTCACATATTCAAAATCGTATAATATCTTGTCTCATTCCATGGGGCATGAAATCTAAGGGCTACAATAACCACTTCAGACCAGATGTGTTATGAGATTGTTCGATACAAGAACAATAAAAATAAAAGATTGTGATGATACACCTTGACCGCCGCTTAATGACTACCCTCCATGATAAGGTTAAAACATTAGATTGATCTGTTCAACGGTAAATTAGATATAAATTATGCATTAGTTAGTCTAGCCAGATAACCCTATGGAGGTCAATATGCAAGTACACATGATCATTGAAATACAGTCTTAATTTTTATAGTAATTTTTATAAAAAAATATACAATATATAGCATGATATTAAAATGTCAACGAACAACATCTTAATCATCTGTGATCACAAAAACTGTAAAGTATTGAAAACGTCGGAAATAACCTAATGACAATAAACAGAGTAATCTTAATTGTGACCTTAATCAAATTATTATCACATTTCATTGGTCTGTTTTTATTATGTGCCAAGGATTGCTTTGACATTTACTATAAGAACTTTGCTCAATGCAACTCTTAATTTGATTTTGTAAAATGCATTCAATTAAATCATTATATTGGAACCCAGATAGATAATATTTCATGCGTCATACATTGTTGTGTAATAACAATTTACACATTATAATATTGTTATTTAGCAAACATTAAAGTTGACCCAGAAGATAACGAATGATTCTAATTAACCTGTATTTTTATACTGAAATTCATTAGCCTATTAGATAAACCAATAAACGTTTACGAGTAATGTAGTATTGAGAATGCTTACAATATTTTTGTTTAAGATTGCAATATGAAGTGCACTCATAATTCTTCTCAAAAGAACATTAAACTTAAGTTGTAAAGTGAGACAGAAATTTGTATGTCCAAATATATATCTTAGATTCTTAACAAAAGTTAGGGTTTCAAAAAAACAATACATAACAATAAATACCAAGTACATTTATGAATCTGTACAATTTTTTGATTGCTTTAGATTTTAATCTATCCTCACATTATGTTAAATAATTATCAATGTGACATCATGAATACTGCCACACAACATGCCTGAATATATTTTTTTATAATGCCTCTCCAAGCCCTAAAATATTTTTTTTTATTGCCCTTGTAGGCATACGGCCCACCTGATGGTGAGTGGTTACCGTCGCCCATGGACTTCAGCAATGCCAGGGGAAGAGCCAAGCCGCTGCCTACTGCAAAGCAACAGCTTTGTGGCAGAAAGATAAAAGTAGTCAAAACCAAGATGTCCATCTGTAATTTTATTTCCTACCACTAAATCTATTTCCTATATCTATTAGTTTGCCTGTGTTGCTTTTCTTAGAAACCAATAGTAAAAAACAGAAATCATTTTTTATTGCTAATAATATTGGTAAAAAAAGTTTTTTTTATAGTTTTACGGTACAGTTTAGTGGTCCTGGTTAACAAATATAAGGCCAAAGTAATAAATAAAACATTACATCATTGATTCTTGATATTACATTAAAAGATTCCATTATACTGATAAATACAGGTCAAGCTAATAAAAGCTTGTTAAAAAACAAGATTGAAACAAATAAATTATATATTTTCCAATGAGTGGTTTCATGACTTAACTAAACTATTACTTTGTTTAAATACATATATTATGATAGCCTTATATTAATATACGATCTTTTGTATGTATTTTACACATACAAAACCTAGGTACATTTTACAGAAATATGTATTTGTCAGAGATACTGTATTGATTCTGAGAGACAGAACTTTGAAATAATGTCATTCTTGGTAATGAAGCCTATTGCACAATTTAGTTAAACTTATTACTTACTTATTATTTAGTATACAATGTTGAAGATTCATTGTTAGAAACCTTTTAAAACCGAATTAATAACGTTCAAATTAGTTCAAAATAATTTAGACAACTACATAGTTGACTTTTACTCTTCAACCGTACGCCACTCTCGGATCTTGTCTTTTGGATTTATTAATGTACCAGGCTATTGTAGAAACAACCTAATCTATATATATAAAAATGATTTGCTGTTCGTTAGTCTCGCTAAAACTCGAGAACGGCTTTACCGATTTGGCTAATTTTGGTCTTGAATTATTTGTGGAAGTCCAGGGAAGGTTTAAAAAATAGATAAATATGAAAATGATCGGAATTAAATAAAAATAACAATTTTCTTTTTCTTTTGATGTGTCCCCCGTCGGACGGATTCCTTTTGTTTGTTTTAAGTTTATTTCATACAAAAGTTTAGGTCTTTTATTTATCAATTGAGGCACTACGAAGTCTGCTGGGTCAGCTAGTAAATAAATATATAAATAAACGAAAAATACTATTTGACTATGTACCAAAAGATCTCAGCGTTTTTAGTATATAATTAATAATTAAACCTAACCGAAACTAAGAGGTTACATCCATTAAAATATTATTTGTTACATAAATACACTAACCTTTTTCTTGTCCGGTGAAAGTTTCACACTTTCTCCTGAATATGATACGATTGGTAGCAAATAAGCCCTCGATGTGTTAATTTTTTATGGTAATAACTAAAGCAAAAACATGCCGCGAAATTTACAAAATTTTGTTTGTTTTTATTGTTGTTTATTTTGTCGACTCAGTTAGACTAAAGGAACATGGACCATACTTCTTCTTCTTAGTCGCATACTTCAGATCGTGTCCTTGAAAGGCCATACAATTCAGGCTTTTGTAATTTTATGCCAACATCATTATTTGAATGAAAACTAAACCGAAATAGAATGGAATATTACAGAATTAAATGAACTCGATGTAATGAAACTCGGGAAAATTGTGATTATGAAGAATGATGATTGCAATTGATGAATTTACTACATTAAAATGATTGAAGATTTGCTGTAGAACAAACAATAAGAATCCCTTCAAGAGATTCTGAAGCGTAATCCTTAAATTCAAAACCTTTAATTTGATGAATTTGATTTTTTTTTTTTTTTCCTACCTATGCTGATAGCCTTGAGAGGCTATTTCAGCTTCACCCTAACGTTAGTAGGTGAGCTCGCGGGGCTCAACCGGAGAGTTGCTAACACTGACCCTAGCAAGAGCAGTGCTTCGCAGAATCTACCACCGGATCGGAAACGCGACCCACTGAGAAGATCCGGCGAGAAACTCAGTGGGCTGTGTCTATGGGTTAGTTCGCTCGTCGAGCCCTTCGTCGCAAGCGACGGGTTCGACGAGGACGGTGACCGGTGCTTGTGGTGCCTAAAAGCACCGTTAATGGATCAGGAGGATCCGTAATGACGTGCTTTGGGCGACGTCGACGGTTTACCATTCGGTCTACTGGGTCGGGTATGTAATTTCCAGCGGCTACGATGAGAGGGTTCTCATGTCGTGCCGCCTTCTCAAAATGGCGCAGCGATGCCGACTGTAGATACTTACTAAGAGAGTCGAGCTCCAGGTCATCGTGGAGATCCACATTCCTAAGGAACCATGGCGCTCCGACGGCTATCCTGCAGAATCGTGATTGAACCGAATTTGATTGATTACAGTATAAATAAATAGATAAGAAATATTTAAAGTTCACTACTTTTAAATTGTAACATTGCGTTTTATTTTCTTCAAAGATGTCGATGATGTCATTTTTCTGTCAATGACCAAAACTGTCAAAATTAGTCAAAACAAATCGGAAATCGTGTGAAAATTTAAGCTTTAAATAAACAGATATAGCAAAAATGGGCCTTTTCGGTAAATCCCCAGAGCGCAACCCTAAAGAAATGGTAAAGCCAGATCAGTAAAAATGATAAATCAGAAGACTCCCGAAATGTGAAACATGAAAATTTTAAAAATGATTTCTATGATTTTAAATTCCAGGTAAATGAATGGTCGCATAAACTTCGTAAAGAAGGATACAATTTGGACAGACAAGTTAGAGGTAAATTTTATGAATGATATAACAATAAACTTAAGGATACGATCCTGGACGACTGAAAGCTGTACACCATATTGCCATTGATGGTCGATGAGTATGCGGTCAATCTGACGGTAAATGGTTAGCGATAACATGGGCGTGACCGAGTTACTGCCTGCAGTAAAACAGCACTATATTAAAATTTGTATTCAAACCACATTTTAGTTTTTTGACATAAGAAATTACATTCATATTTATTTAACACTAGCGACCCGCCCTCGCTTCGCTTCGGAAACATTAAAACACACATGAAACCAAAAAATAAAAAATTAAAAAAAAATTAAAAAAAGTAGCCTATGTTCACCAGGGACAATGTCGGCTTCTAATGGAAAAAAAATTTTTCAAATCGGTCCAGCAGTTTCGGAGCCTATTCGAAACAAACAAACAAACAAATCTTTCCTCTTTATAATATTAGTATAGATGTTTTTCAGTCTAGAATAAAGTGAAAATCTTTTAGTAAAAATCACACAAAGCTTAACAGTAATAATTAAACTGGTTCATCAAAATTTCAGCTATCCAAAGAGAAGAAGAAAAAATTAAACGATCACTGAAAGAAGCAGCTACTAAAAACGATAAACAAGTATGCACTATACTAGCAAAAGAAATCATCAGATCCAGGAAAGCAATCAATAAAATATACACAAGTAAAGCACATCTCAACTCAGTACAGTTACAAATGAAGAATCAATTGGGTTAGTTTGACTTATTTATATAGTCAGTCATGAAATTGGTATTTTATGTCACATTGAGATTCCTAATATTATTGGTATATTAAGCTTATATAGGTAGGTACAACTGTCTTACCTATTTCTGCTCCAGAGTACTCATGTGTTTTGCTTTTAAGAGTCGTACAGCACTTTGTTCTTGTGTTTCAAGATGTTAATCTATGGGCTCCGGTAGCCATTTTGTACCAGGTGAACCAAGAAATCATTCAGATATTTATACAATAAAAAAAACACGATGTTCTCAATTTAGAAAGAATATTTTGTAGCCTTTTGAAATAGCAGATATCGCAAGCACTTAATGGAAAAAGTTTCTCTGGTAACTCATATTACTAATGTAGGAAAGTAGGATATAAATTATCAGTTAAATTAATTTAAAAAAATCATTTCACTTTTAAGCATTTGATTATTTTGTTTTAGTCTTAAAGCTGGTCGTACTGATCTCTATATTTTAATATTTAATTTTTTTATTGTTGCGTATTATCAAATTAATCTAGTCAATCTACCTAGTCTAATCTATCATTCATCAAAATCTAATAGACTGATTTTGCTACAGCAATAATAATACCACATTTTTTATCTAAATTTGAATTAAATAAATGCAGTTCTCTCACTTGAATTGTTAAATTACTTTTCAGCTACCTTGAGAGTTGCTGGATCATTGCAGAAGTCAACAGAGGTATGCTTACAATGGCCTAATTTGCAATTTTAATTGATGTTACAAAATTAAATTAACTAAAGGAAATAGTTACATTAATAATTTCATGATTGCAAAACTGCTTAAAATATTGACAAATTCATTATTTTTACTAATGGAAATGCTTGCAGACAAACAAGCAACCAAAATGAGCATTGTGTTTTACAAATAGGATTCTTTTTGGGTGGAGGATTTGCTGATGGCCTAGAGGCCTTTCCAGCGTCACCAGGGTGAGTGGGCAAACAACTGCCTAAGCGCCTCTGAAGGCCTAACAACTCAAGAACAGCTGCTGCAGATCGGAATCGATCTGGTACCGCATTGGAAGATCGAAACGCCGAAAAAAATGAAATTGTATGGGTTGATGTTATCAACTAGTTTGACGATTACGGTCCCTTCTGCTGTGGTTGCTAAGTGATAGAACTAGAAGCATCCAATAGTACTCGGAGTGGATTAGGTTTATCCATCAGGCCGCGTTTAGGGCGTCGACGGTGCTTAGCTGCCGCATCAGCCGGTTCAGGGGGGTAGTTATCTGCGGCCAAGATAAGAGAGTTATGGTTTCGGGTTCTACCGCTCCGACGCTGACTTCCCATACTTAACTTTGGGTTCGACACCTAGGTCATCATGACGATTCGTCAGCCAACGCGGTGCTCTGAAAGTGGTCCTGCAGAAAGCTGGATTTTTAGGGAGTTTATGTGGGTGCAGGCCACATCAGCAAGATTTACACTCGCATCAGGCCAAATGCAAGTGTTATAAACTCATCTTACTATGAAGGGACACTGTATTATAAATCATTGCGTTTTGGGAAGTCCATCTATCTAGCTTATCTGCCATATACTGAATCCAAGATCATGTTCTTAGAGCCCTTTTAACTTCGGCTCGCCACTTGTGGAATAACGAACCTGGTGTTACGGCTGAAGCTTATTCACTTTGAAGGACCTTTTCCTCAAGGGGTAGCAAACGTTGTCCTTTGTATATTATGCAATATACTCAACAAACACTTCCTCTGAAAATTAATTAGAAAATAATGAATTAATTTTCAGGTGATGCAAGCAATGCAAGCTCTGTTACGTCTCCCAGAAGTAGCGGCTACGATGCAGGAGCTGAGCAAGGAAATGATGAAAGCTGGTATCATAGAGGAGATGCTGGACGAAACCATGTCCGGGATGGAAGATGAAGAGGAAATGGAAGAAGCAGCGCAAAGTGAAGTTGATAAGGTAATTAAGTCTCTTCCACTATTCTAGTTAAAGATAAACTTTATTGTCCGCTACTGATTTTTTTCTTATTAACACTGTGTAAGGTGAAGAGTTAATAATAATAATATAGTTACTTTGTGTTTACTACCTCAGTGAAATGTTGTGTATATTTTTTACAACCATTTAATTTCCCCTTATTTATCTTGTCATGTTCATTAATGAATTTGTAACTCATAAATATTTTTTTATACAGAACCTATCACCAATAGAAATCGAATATGTTTTTTTATTGTTTTAATTTTGGATGAAACTTTTTGAGCACAGGTTCTATGGGAATTAACGCAAGGAAAATTAGGAGAAGCGCCGGCACCGCCTACGTCTGTCGGAGCACCGTCCACCAGTCAACAAGAAGAGGAACCAGTCCCGGAGCCTGACGAAAGCGAACTAGACGAAATGCAGTCTAGATTGGAATCATTGCGGTCTTAGAGTTGAACAGAGTTTATGAGAGAGGTAAATAAATTTTAAACTTTTTTGTTTCTATATTTTTATTATTTATTTAAGGAGGTTTGTCACTTATTTTATTGCTTAGATGGGTGGACGATCTCACAGCCCACCTGGTGTTAAGTGATTACTGGAGTCCATAGACATCTACCAACGCAAATGCGCCACCCACCTTGAGATACAAGTTCTAAAGTTCAGTAAAGTTACAAAGGCTGCCCCGCCCTTCAAATTGAAACGCATAACTGCTCCACGGCAGAAATAGGCCGGGCGGTGGTACCTACCCGTGCGGACTCACAAGAGGTCCTACCACCACTCATAAGCTATTGGTTCCTGGTTGTTTACCAGTCACTATTGAAATTACATCATACACAGCTGGAAATGAGTGCAAGTCTCAATTTCATTGAATTAACTATATAAAACAGAACAGTTGACTGCTTCACAATAGAAATGGACTGACTCATCCCAGTTCTTACGAAAATTGACAATTAATGTTATTAGGTATTTATTATTAGTTCCTTGTAAAGTTTTGGCTTTCTATGAAAACTATATTTAGTGTTGTTATTGGAACACAAGTATACTTTGTAGCATTATTTTTTCTTTGTATTGATCTGTTCGAAGTACAAAATTTTTGTTTCAAAGTATTGGGAAGTATCACCCGTACTGTAGTGTAATATGATCAAAAAATGCTTCTTTAAATATTGTATTTATTTTTGCAGACTCTAAAGAAGTATTACTTTATTTGGTGGCTTCATGGCTCGAATGGAGATTAACAGATGCCTTACAAAATAATTTTGTAAATAAATCTTATTGATTTTGATTCTAATTGTTGTATGTATTGTATTAAGTTTTTATTTATATTAAAAGTTATCTTTAACAAAATACATTTTATTTTAAAAGTTATATATTTTATTGTCTCACACCAAATGTTTAATTGATTAAACACTCGTGAATTCAGGTAAAACTGTACACCTGTATATAAATTAAAAAATTTAAAAAATCCGCAGCGTATAGCGTAAAAAAACTTAATATATGTATCATTATGGCAGCTGAAAAATGGTCTACCTGCATCCTTACGCTTGAATCAATTCCAATTAATTTAATTCCATTTCAAACCTAGGGTTGATAATAACGGCATACAAGAGAATAGGGATGTGCAAAAAGAGCGCTTTGTATTTTTTTTACATTTGTCTTACATTGCTATTCAAAACTGTGTAACTATACTGAGACCTTAGAACTTATATCTCAAGGTGATTTTTTTTTATTGCTTAGATGGGTGGACGAGCTCACAGCCCACCTGGTGTTAAGTGGTTACTGGAGCCCATAGACATCTACAACGTAAATGCGCCACCCACCTTGAGATATAAGTTCTAAGGTCTCAGTATAGTTACAACGGCCGCCCTACCCTTCGAACCGAAACGCATTACTGCTTCACGGCAGAAATAGGCAGGGTGGTGGTACCTACCCTTGCGGACTCACAAGAGGTCCTACCACCAGTGGGTAGCGCATTTACGTTGTAAATTTCTATGGGCTCCAGTAACCACTTAACACCAGGTGGGCTGTGAGCTCGCCCACATACCTAATCAATAAAAAAAAAATCAACAAAATTTAAATAAACTAACGTTACACGTCGTATCAGAAATCACCATTACTTCGTTTCCTTCACCTGTACAATTCAGCAAAGCAATGTCTTCATTAAGGAGACATGACCGAATAACTAATTCGCTGCTGCTGCTTCAATTAAAACAAACAAACTTAAAAAAAATCATTTTACTATAAATATAATTCGAATAATACTATGTAAATTCCTACAAATATAAGTAATAAGCATATCACAGTTGGTTACATCATTTTGGAGGACAAGTCGAGTTCTAATTGAAGATCTTGTATCGATTCCTTCTTCAGCAGCGGCCGACGGTCGATTTCCTTTGTCTTTTTTGCATTTTTCTTCTTCGTTAATCTGCAGGAAAAAAGACACCATTGTTATTACATTAGGTTAATCTGTACTTATAGTGGTGACAGGGGACAGGGTTGAAACGTATGCGTCCAACCCGATTTAAGGTAGTATTTCGTACGTATGTCTAAATTGTTGATTCGAACACACCGATAGTGTAATCAGTGGCGGATTTCCCCTAAGGGCCTACTGGCCTAGGGCGGCCAGATTTAGGGGCAGCCCCAATCGTGTCAAAAAACTTTTCTAACATATGGCGGGTGGACTACACTGCATGGTGCAATCTATACCGCATAAAACTTTTCTTTTACCCTAAATTTCTAAATTTATTTAGATAAAGTAATTTCATTCTGTAGTCTATATGGTGGATGCTGAGAAAAGGGCGGCTGATGGCTTGGGGCCTGGGGTAGCCGAGACTACAAATCCGCCACTGAGTGTAATCCTTTAGGCCGCTACGACTTTAGAACCCACGAATAGACGTCTTCGAAGTCAATTCGAGAAATAAAAAAATATTGATGGTACCTGTTTATAACTCCATCGGGATGGTCCATCATCCGGATGATGTCGGCCTGGTCGGAGGAGTCCAGGGGCGCCACGGAGATGTCCCGGACGGCGCGGAACTTGCCGCAGTTGTTCAGGTGCTCGTTCTCGAGACGGAAGAAATTCCAGATGAAACGTCTTGAAAAAAAAAATACAATATTTAATATTATGATACTTTTTTCTCTATAGTAATGCCCGGTAGCCTTTATATTAAATAACCCACGAAATCATTAGAATCGTCAGTCGTTCAACAAAAACAACTTGATGGAAGTGAGGCTTAGAAGGTACGAACATGTAGCGACATCTGTGAACCACGGAACGAAACTTTCTTTAATCGAATAATAAATTATTCGTGTTAATAAAATATGTTTTTTTATTTTTTTATTATATACTAACCGTCTGTCAGTGATTTCAATAAAAACGAAAACGTAATTTAAATATTCTAACCTGAACACTTCCAGGGGAGCCAATATAGAGGTCATAGTTTCGGAGCCGACATATTTATTCTCCGTGAGAACGAACGAAACAGTCCATATGAAACGTAACACGAAATCCTCTACTATCGCAAAGTAGTAAGACTGAAAAAAAAATAAACAACAAATTAAATTTTATTTATGTATTTATTTATTTATAACTTTATATACTAGACAGTATAAAGGCGGACTTAATGCCATAGGCATTCTCTGACAGTCTACCTTAGGGGAGTGCAGAGATGAATCTTGGTAGGTGTAGTGAGATAATGATATTACTTAAACATATGTGTATATATAACATACACAATATTTATAGATACAAATACTCGTACTTATATAAATACATATACATATAAAATATATATCAATAAATATTATCAATTAGATGACTGCTAACTGTCTGAGAAACAGTTTTCGCACCGACAAAGACTTTTCACTCGAATGTGATATGTTATCTCATTGACAACAATAATGTCAGATTATCTGTGGAAATGTGATGAAGATAGACTGTTCTCCTGTAGCGGATGGTGAAAGTGCACAAATGTGGAAAAATGAAACAAAGCCGCTGGACGTCACTTCTCGTGATCCTCCAAAAAGTCCAATGAAAAAGTCTCAGTAAATGACCAACATTTTACTGAGATCATATTTCACCCCATATCATCTCATCTCATTTCATTTGATTTCATCACAGTTAATTAATGTCTCAAATTAATCATCTTCATTTCATTTCATAATTTTTCATAAAAATAGGAATGTAATTTAAATTTAAATAAGACATGACTTAAAGGTCTTAGTTACCAGGTCATAAAATCTCCTAAAAAAAATATTTTATGAAATTCCGTAGGCGTCCCGCTTTGACACGAAAAAAAAATGGTCACGTTAATCATGAGTGCTCGTCACTCACCCCCGGACTGTAGACGATCTCCTCCCTGAGGAACTTATTCTCAGCGCTGGGCCCACAGCTGAACAGACCCCAGTCCATTTTCACGTCCCACGTGTACGTGTACACGGACGACACGAGCTGACACGCGAACCACGCGTACAGAAACGGATTGTCGAAAGACGAATCTGGATATTTATCTGTATTAAGAAAAAAACGTAAATAATAAAATCGTTATCTATATGTACTAATATTATAAAGCTGAAGAGTCTGTTTGTTTGTTTGGTTGAACGCGGTTAACTCAGGAACTACTGGTCCGATTTGAAAAATTATTTCAGTGCTATATAACATCACGCTAAGACAAGCGGTGCACCAATAAAGAATGTTTCAAAATCGTTTTTTTTTCCTTTTTGAAAGCTTCCGCTGCGTGCGCTGCGGAAACGGTTAAAGTTTCGTTAAAATAATGTACGACAGAATTGTTCTGGTTTTCTCCCATCCCATCATCGGATCTTGATTCTGATTCTTACAAGAGCATTCGGAAAGTCTATCCTTTCGAACAAAAAAATGAAAACAGAAATAGATACAAGAATAGAAGAAAGAAATAGAAACAGAATAGATAAAAAAAAAATGTGGTCGAATTGATACCCTCCTCTTTTGATGTCGGTTATTTGCGGTCGACTATTTGCATATATATGTATTAAGTGTCGACCTCTGTACGGACTTATCTTAGTGCGCACATAATAAGTTAATAACATTTTTAAAAATAACCATTTAAAATGATTTTGCTTCAAATTTAGCCTTTATTTTTGTATATTTTTTAAGTTAAAGCTTTTATAAGTTTTTTTCCAAAAATCCTTTAGTAAATTGAAAAGCAGAGAGGAACTTGAGCCCTATGAAGTCATGCCTACATTCGCCTTGTCAGAAAGGGATAGAAAATGACTTTCGAATCCCCACCAAAAAATGTGATGTGAATTCAATATACAACATTGAGGGATTTTATGAACTGGTAATTAAGACCTCTAGGTCAAGTCTTTTTTGAATTTTAATGAAAACTATTTTATACGAAAAATTATATTATGAAATGAAATTGATTAATATGAAACATGGCAAGGTGGGTGGCGAATTTACGTTGTAGATGTCTATGGGCTCCAGTAACCACTTAACACCAGGTGGGCTGTGAGCTAGTCCAGCCATCTAAGCAATAAAAAAAAGGTATGAAATAAAACGAAATGAAATGAGATAAGATGATATGATATGGGATGAAACATAATCTCAGTAAAATGATGGTCATTTACTGAGACTTTTTCAGTGGACTTTTTGAAGGGTCCCGAGAAGTTACGTCCAGTGGCTTTGTTTCATTTTCCCACTTTTATGCACTTTCACAGATATTAAACAGTTAATAAACCACCGTTATTACACATTTAAACCCGAAGAAACACTAAATAGACAAAATAAAACAAATCACACAACTTCACTCCCCGTGTTCCCGCCAAAAAGTCTCTCGAATTCAATATACAGTACTGTTTACTAATAATGCCGTTATTAATATAACAAGAGGTCCCGCAGTAGTCGAAATTCGACTATAATTAATTGAAATTGTAAGTTTGTACACTATTATGATTGTATTTTATACTTCTATAATCACAAATTTCGCCAAGGCTACACTATAAAAAATATTAATAAAGGCAAACAATATTTAATCTATTCTCAATTTGACAACAGACGCCAAGAACAAAAGTTTGACAATAAATAGTATGCATGCGTGTGTGCGTCAAATACATGGTATGTAGTGTGTGTAATGTTTTCTTTATTGATTTCATGTATCTTTTATGCATTATTTAAAAAAAAAATTGCATTATGCATTTCTTCTCTATATTCTCTATAAGTGTGGAAAATTTCATACTCCTCCGTCCGCGCAATTTTCGTAAAAAGGGATACAAAGTTTTTGCTTCACGTATTAATATATAGATATAATATTAATATAATGCTAAACAATACGAACGATCAGTTTAGCTAACCGTTTAAAAAACAAACTCACGATTGTTCAAAGTCTTCAACGTAGCGAATAGAACCACGAAGAACGTGGTCGAGTACTTCCCGGCGTTGACGAGATGCGGGAAGGCCTCCCGGCTGTCCCGGTACCGGCGCAGACACTGCCAGAACCGCGTCCAGGCCGGGACCACGCTCACGACCGCGCGGCTCAGCACGAACCATTGGGCCGCTTCGAACTCGTCTGCGGACAATGACCGGAGGACTCTGGTACCTACTTGTGCTTTGGTATCTAGCGAATATTTGTTGAAAACGTATATCTATATATATAAAAATGAAACCCGTTTTCCGTTGTCACGACATAACATGAAAACGGCTTGACCGATTTGGCTAATTTTGGTTTTGAATTATTTGTGGAAGTCCAGAGAAGGTTTAAAAGGTAAATAAATATGAAAATAATCGGAATTAAATAAAAATAACAATTTTGTTTTTCCTTTGATGTGTCCCCCGTCGGATGAATTCCTTTTGTTTGTCTTTTATTTATCGATTGAGGCACTACGAAGTTTGCCGGGTCAGCTAGTTTTTATATAAATTCCCTGGCTTATATAGTTTTAGCTGCCACCCACCTTGAGACATGAGGATAAAATCTCAAGTGTTGTCTTCAATTCAGACCGGAATGAGGACTGTTCCGCAGTAACAACAAACAATACTGTGGCATCCAACACTGTGGATGCAAACTCCTAGTATTAGCAATTATGCAAATTTCAGTTATATAGGCACGAAATCAAATCACATTCTTCTTCTTCTTCTTTGTCTCTCCCTTATCCCACTAGGTAGTATCGCCATAGCGAATTTTTCTATTCCATTCTCTCCTATTAGCCGTCACAACCTCACTCTCGTATCGTCATTCACACACTCCATCCATGTCTTCTTCGGTCGACCTCTTCCCCCTCTACTTTGCACTACCATTATTTCAATATCAAATCACATTATAATTTATAATAATCATACTATTAACTTTGAACCAATCACCGCCCGCCACGTAGAAGGAGATCAGATAGTGAAAGTCTACGAAGGCGGCCGTGAATGAATTCCATTGGTCGGCCAGCCAGAAATCGGCGAATAGCACGGGCAGGAATGGCGCTGCGAGGATCCGACCCTGGAATCCAAAGGATTATCGTATAGTCGACCCAAATCGGCGGTGTCCACATGTTTTTAATCCTATTAGATGAGATTCAGAACACTTTTCGGGTCATTGAGATGAGCGAACTCAACCATGAATCTTAATTAGATGTCTTCACCTCCGTCAACCATGGTTGGAGCTGTTTGACATTACCCTAGGTAATCACCCTTTGCGGTAGGCAGCGGCTTGGCTCTGCCCCTGGCATTGCTAAAGTCCGTGGGCGACGGTAACCACTCACCATCAGGTGGGCCGTACACTCGTCTGCCTACTAGGGCAATAAAAAAAAACCTTTAGTTTTCTACGTAGATATTTATACATTTCTTGCACTCACAAACTAGAGTTTGAGAGCCGTTGAACTTGACGTTTTCTTTCACCCAATGCTAAACGACTGCAGGATCTCAAAGATGCAAAATGTATGCTCTCAGCCACTTAAGAGACGTTAGATCGAAGTCCATGACCAGCACGACACGAATCGACAGAATGCTGATACGTAAATTGTTCTCAAAGGACCCTATCATCAAATGTCAGAAAAACAATGTGGTGCTCATATTTATGATCAACTGGTAAAGCTGTCGCAAGGTATCATACGAAATTGTACAACTTACAAACAAAGCAACAAATCGTGTTTCCGCATTAAAAGTGTACAATTTCCAAAAATATTCGAAATTGAGTTAATATGCGGAAACATTTGGTATCACCAGTATTTTTCTCATAAATACTGTCAAAAGAGCGTAGTTTACTTTTAATTTTTTTTTTTTGGTTTTCCTATATTTTGACTACCTACTATTAACAAAATTAATACATAATTTTATCTTACCTTAAAAGATAGATAATGCATCTGGTAAAAAATAAAAAAAATAATGTTGCAAAGATGATTAATATTAAAAATACCACATGTTAAACGTTTAAAACACTCTCCTGTAAAATTAGTAAGTTTTGAAATTATACAGTTTTAATGCGAGAAGACGAAATGTGTTTTTAAGCTACATACTTGTACGAAAGTAAAAAAAAGGATACTTACACATATCCTCAAAAACCAGAATCTGGCCTCGTGCCGGAAAACCTTGAAGGGGTTCATCAAGAAGGCAAGCATTATCACAACCAGCGCTAGGGGATTCACAAAAGGCGGTATGCTAAGGCTCGCGCTGTATATAAAACTTAATATACTAAGCGCCCATACGACACCGAAAATTGCCGCTAATTCCATTAAATGCTGCTCGGACAAGTGATTCCTTGGGTCTAGTTCGAATATTAGCACGTGGTTCACTCCTGACGACCGCCATCCGTATACGTTAATGCCTATCAAAAATATGAACTCGACCAAGAGGAACGGACCTCTGTATAATCGAATGGCTGTTTTGATATCGCTCGATCCACCTTCGTGAAATAGAGCTGTAATAAAAATTTAAAAAAAAACAGTTCCAGATTTGGTTCTCGTTAAGATTTAGGGTTAAAAGTTGTCCGTATGGGGTCTTGTTTGTTTTTATATGTTATTGTAAAAAAAAAGCCGTGCCCAGTTCCACCGGTTGATGAAATTAAGCAAAATATCATCTGTATGCTTCATTTTCAAACAATCGTAAAATAATTTCCAACGAACACGTCCAAGCTCTCACTTATATAATTGTAAATATATTCGTATATTTAAATACCTATATTTTATAAACTAGCGACCCGCCCTCGCTTCGGAAACATTAAAACACACATGAAACAAAAAATAAAAAATAAAAAAAAAATAAAAAAAAGTAGCCTATGTTCATCAGGGACACTGTCGGCTTCTAATGGAAAAAGAATTTTTCATATCGGTCCAGTAGTTTCGGAGCCTATTCGAAACAAACAAACAAACAAATCTTTCCTCTTTATAATATTATATAGTATATAGTATAGATAAACAAACACATTGACGCTAGTTTGAATGCCTCAATCTATATATGAATGACCTGAATTTCGCGCACACTAAGCATTCAAACGATTATAACTAAATAATTATAATCCCCCACAAGGGTGCGCATATTCATACTTTTTAGTATTATAAAAGTGATAGTATCTTTGATTGTTTCTAGGTCCGTCTGTCATGTAGTTTAATCCACTGAGTTTCTTGCCGGTTCTTCTTAGTGGATCACGATTTCGATCCGGTAATAGATTCAGCGAAGCACTGCTCTTGCTAGGTCTAGTGTTAGAATGAAATAAGTACAGAATAAATGTACTTCTTGACTTCCATGATGAAGGAATAACATCGTGTAATAAAGATCAAACTGGCAAAATTATAATTTGCGTAATTACTGGTAGTAAGATAAAACCTCTTGTGAGTCCGCACGGGTAGGTATCACCTCCCCGCCTATTTTTCTGCCGTGAAGCAGTAATGCGTTTCGGTTTGAAGGGCGGGGCAGCCGTTGTAACTATACCGGGACCTTAGAACTTATATCTCAAGGTGGGTGGCGCATTTACGTTGTAGATGTCTATGGGCTCCAGTAATCACTTGGGGTTAGTAATTAATCACCAGGTGGGCCAACCACCAGGAAAATAGCAGTTCTCTCAGGTTGAGCCCGTGAGCTCACCTACCGGTGCGCGTGAAGCTGGAATAGCCCCTGAAGCTACCAAAGATTAAGTAGGGAAAATTCATGTCGAAATAAAGCAACGGATTGACATGATATTTCAAAGTGATACTTAGTTTTAGGCCAGGAGAATGAATGAATGAATACGATTTATACAAAAACTAGCCGACCCGCCAGACTTCGTAGTGCCTCAATCGAGAACTAAAAGACCTAAACTTTTGTATAAAATAAACTTAAAACAAACAAAAGAATCCGTCCGTCGGGGGACACATCAAAGGAAAAACAAAATTGTTATTTTTTTTTTATTTCGAGCATTTTCATATTTATCTACCTTTTAAACCTTCTCTGGACTTCCACAAATAATTCAAGACCAAAATTAGCCAAATCGGTCCAACCGTTCTCGAGTTTTAGCGAGACTAACGAACAGTAATTCATTTTTATATATAGAGAAGAAGAAGAAGACAAAAAGACAAAATTACTTCTCATTCCCACTAGAAAACTAGAAACTATAATACATTACTTTTCCCCGACAATGCAGAAGCCGCGCCGGTAACAGTTAGTATTACATAAATATTCGAATATCAAATACAGTGTTTATTTAATGCACTGAATTCAAACGAAACAATATCAGCTTGTTGAATCTTGCAATCGGCGGATTATCCACGCAAATAGCAACGCTTACATAACGGCATTACGCGATTATGTTTAATTAGATTTGTCTATTAATCCCCTCGTTGTGTATTTTATTGTTTAATGATAAATGTTAGAAAATTTTTGAGGTTATGTAGTTATTTACAATTGGATTTACCGAGATAATTTATAGCATGGTTTTGTGGTAGATTATAATTTGCACTTTGTGTTTTTTTTTTTATGTTGTGGTAGATGATAGCGTTTGGAACGTGCCTCAAGCATTACTATATGGGACGCTATTTACAGTAAAATCTCTGTTGAGAACGATTTCGTCGTGGCCTAACGGATAAGACGTCCGATGCATTCGTTCGAGCGTGAGCGATGCACCGGTGTTCGAATCTCAGGCGGGTACCAATTTTTCTAATGAGATACGTACTCAACAAATGTTCACGATTGACTTCCACGGTGAAGGAATAACATCGTGTAATTAAAAATGAAACCCGCAAAATTATAATTTGCGTAATTACTGGTGGTAGGACCTCTTGTGAGTCCGCGCGAGTGGGTACCACCACCTTGCCTATTTCTGCCGTGAAGCAGTAATGCGTTTTGGGTTTGAAGGGTGGAGCAGCCGTTGCTACTATACTGAGACCTTAGAACTTATATCTCAAGGTGGGTGGCGCATTTACGTTGTGGATGTCTATGGGCTCCAGTAACCACTTAACACCAGGTGGGCTGTGAGCTCGGCCACCTATCTAAGCAATAAAAATAAAATAAAAAAAAGGATTATTTTTTTCTAACTCCAATACGTACTCGCATATGTTACTGTTGTAATAAGCATCTATCTCTCATTAATCTAACAGTGACTGGTATGATGGCGGTTACTCAGTTACATTATTTCATTATTTATTGTATTAGTTCCGTTATTTAATTTTAATTTTATATTAGTAGTTGACAATTTTAATTTTAATAATTTTGATTCGGTTTCATTTGATTTGGTTTCATTTTTGTTTTTAATCATTCTGATAAATTGTAATTTTAATTTTATTGTATTTCGATTTAAATTTTAATATTATGTAATTGTATGTGAAATTTTATAGGCTTAAGTTACCTGAAATAAACGCATTTCATTTCATTAGTACGTTACTATATGTTTAAAATAAACCGTATTTAAAATTAATAAAACCAATAAATTTAAATCGGAGCTGTCAATTTTTCCGTAAACTTTACGTAAACTATTCTAGTTTATTTTTAAGTTTATTTTTTACTTTTTGTTAAGAATATTTTGTTGTGAATCTAACATGCTCGCTCTATATACTTCTAGAACCAAATGTATTTAACTGTTTAATAATATCGAGCGTATCTACGTCTCCTTGGCTTTTGGCTGAAACTAGTTTAAAACTAGACAAGATCGGAGAGCGCCGTGACGTAACACCGATAATTGCCGAAGTTATGAAATCAGTGAATCTCATAAATTTATTTTTCGCACATAAATCGTGGTTGGTTCTTACAAAACAATAATTTTACTTTGCTCATGCAAATTCTGGAGTTGCACATTTTTAACGGATAAATATTAAGCTGTTATGTTTTAACTCAATAGGTAAGACCAACCATTTTTTGTTCTAAAGATTAGTAGTTTAGTAGATTAGAGTATTTGAGTGTTCGCTCCAGACTATTAGACAAACTTTTTTTCCTACCTATTCGCTGGTAGTCTAAGAGGCTATTCCTGGCTGATATGTGAGTGAGCTCACATGTCTGAACCTGAAAGGATTTGCTAATACTGGCCCCAGCAAAAGTAGTGTGTCGCAGAATCCACCACCGGACCGGAACTGTGAATCACTGACAAGACTCGACGAGAAACTCAGTGGGTTGTGTCTATGGACTAGTTTGCTTATCGAACTCTTCGTCGTAATCGATGAAACCAAATTTATGGGTTCTCTGATAAAACGGTAAATATCTAAAGCCGTATCAGTCTAAAACCAGGATCTTTTAGAAAAGCATTGAGAATAATCAGAAATGACTATGACTATGAAAGTTTAGACTATGACTATAATCATAATTAGAATTGGATAGCTCATATAACATAGCCCAATCAGAAGCGAGACAGAAAAATGGTCAAAAGACATCACTGTGGTTTTCTAGTAAAAAAAAAAACAGATGACAGATAAAAACGCGGGAAGAAGGCACCAAGAAAACAGCTGGACCATTATGGGGAAGATAGGAAAACGCTCGAGGAGGCCTTTTCCAAAGGGAAAACTAATAATCAGAAATAAAGGCTTTATGAATAATTAAATAAATTAAAATATTTATGATCATGTATATTCACGAGTCACAATGTGTTTAGTGCGCAGTTTTGACGCTGATAAAGCTACATCACTTCGAATTCCAGACAACCGTTAGGTCAACAAGTAGTCATCGAGGAAAAACGATAACAGCAGTGAACATCATGTTTTGATTTCAATGAATCAGTCTCCTTTGTATTTCTTTAACAAACTTTTAAACATAAAACTTTGGTCAATGGTTTTGTATATGTTTGAAAAGGTTGTCATAATAAATAAATATATTAGTGTAGAATAGCCATTTTGTAGCCTTACGTTTTTTTTCTTCGACAACTGTCATTAAAACCTACTTGGAAACTAAATCTTCTCGGATTTTTAAACAAATTTTGACGGTAGTCTACTCATTATTGAAATGTTGACGAATTAACATCTTAGTTGTACTTGACCACAAAAGTCTCATATATCGGAAACGAAATTCTTAAAATGTAAATAATAAACGCAATTAATAATAATTACAATAGTTAAAATTGAAGCTAGAAGTTGATTTTCACGGAAGCATTCGTACTCAATATACACTCAATATTTGGGTAATCTTTGTTGCCGTTTCGTAATTGTTTTACGGAAATTAAATTTATTTGTATGCCTATTGTGATTCTGAACAAGACTTCAAACCTAAACTTAGATTTAAAGAATATTTTGTTTTCAAGGATATAAAATTATAATATCAAATAAATATAGTGTAGCGGTGGCGGTTGTTCATTCTATTAAAGACAAACCTTCAAGGTTTTAATAATAGTTTGGATCGATCGTACAAACTGATTAGTGAATAAACCGTAACAGCATCATCAACCTATAGACGTTCACTGACGCATTTGACTATTATTTTTTTTATAGTCTTTCGAAGCAGGCGAGCTTATTGGTCCACCAGGTGGTTAGGGATTACCGTCACTCATAGACATTCCATAGTCAACAATGGCTGCTGGAAAGGCATGCCGCTGCCTTTTTTTCCTTCCTATCTATGCTGATAGGCTTGAGAGGCTATTTTAGCTTCACCCTAGCGTGTAGGTGAGCTTTCGGAGCTCAAACCGAAAGTGTTGCTAACATTGGCCCTAGCAAAAGCAGTGCTTCGCAGAATCTACCACCGAATCGGAAACGCGACCCACCGAGAAGATACGGCGAGAAACTCAGTGGGCAGTGTATATGGGTTAATTTACTCGTCGAGCCCTGCGTCGCAGGCGACGGGTTCGGCGACGACGGTGACCGGTGCTTGAGGTACCTAAAGGCACCGTTAATGGATCGGGAGGATCCGTAATGACGTGTGCCGCTGCCTAACGCATGCCTATTGTTCATTCATTTTAAGCTTTTACTTTTGATGTCCAACTTCATAGCTTTAAATTCATCATTTGGTGCTTGAAATGAACGCGCACTTTAGAGTTATAAAAACAGACTCACCTGACAAAACAACTGAGATGATTAATACTATAAATGACCCTGAAAACAATCCAACTTTGAATGTGGTCCACGGACTCTGCTGCTCCCCGAGAGGTGGCACTCTTAGTTTCTTCATCGCCTTTTGTCTATCGCCTCCTTCCAGTTCATTTGTGACTGTCGCCTCCGTATCACTAATTAGTCTATCTATGTCTTTGTTCGTGTAGAATTGGGAGGTTTCAACGTGTTCCGCGCGCCATTGCGCTCCATTGCTTACATTTAATAACTAAAAATATATGTATATACGTCAGAAAATGAATGTAACGTTGTGCTACCCTGTGCTAACCAGATTCGGTAGATTCTGCACTAATTCGTCATGGAATTATTGCACGATTACTTGTAACATACCGTAGTACAAGGGCCGGTTTTCTTTTAGAAACAGTAGGCCTTCAGGGCAACCCAAGGTTTATTTAACACCAGATATTTATTTAAATAAAATGGTAATACCAATACAACGGATGGATCATTGAGATGCAGTTGTACAAACAGCTTATCAATTCATTTCCGAATCATTCGTTCTTACTAATACTAAGTAAGTTCTTAGCTTAACTCTAAGCTCAGATCTTCATATATTTATTGGATCTCAAAAAACCTTTGCAATTACAACGGAAGAATTATTATAATCCCTTTATATATACGCAACTGCATGTATAACACAGTTCGTATATAATTAAACCAATTGAAATTTAAAACTTGTCTATAAGATTAGTGGCGTCACACGCCTTATGATGTCATTAAACTACGCAGCCACGGCTACACCTATCTTATCTTAAAATGTTAGGGCATTTGACAGACTGGGCAAACAGCCCCACACTGACCACTGTGATTTTTTGTGTCACGGCTATCACTTGACAGACAGACAGCACTTGGAAGAACAAATAATTCGATAAGGAAATTTCCATTTGCTATCGAAACAATAAAACCTTTATCAAGACGTGAAAATTCAAATGATAAATCATGGTCAGTACGAGACAATGGACTTACTTATCAATCAAAATTTCTGTACCCAATTTGATTTGGAACGATGCGGCTCCTTTCACGGCTATCTCTATCTAGACGTTTCAGGAGGCCAAATAAATCTTATCACTGACCGCCACTGACCTTATCGTGTTTCTTCAATATTTTCCTGAAGCCTGTATAGTTTAAATTCTGATAGTTCTGTAGTAGTATTAAACTTAAATAGAATTCGCTGAATGCAAGTTTCAGTTCTTGGACCTTTCGACGAGGCACCGCAGATTTTTTATCGCCTCCCCCTTTAGTTTTAATTGTGTCGAAATTTGTTTTCAATTCACTTTGGAGTGTCGCGAATTTGCGTGTTGCTTCGGCTAATTTTTCTGGAATGGGGAAGGATGTTCTTTGAATTCGGTTCTCGGTGACATGATTCAGTCAGCCTTGGGGCTGAACTCATAATTCAGTGAAGTAACTGACGTAGCTTAATACGAAGATGAATAGTTATCAATAACAATAATGACGATAACATAATACCAACTTTAAGAATTCAATTATTTTTATTTGGATAAATACCTACTGATAATATTAATGATAAAAACGCATTTAATTTACCCGATGAAGGTCACAGGCAAGTTATTCTGAGAGCAGACAACTCCCTTTCATGATCAGAAATACACATTTTATAACATATCTAAACTTATTACTGGTGGTAGGACCTCTTGTGAGTCCGCACGGGTAGGTACCACCACCCTGCCTATTTCTGCTGTTAAGCAGTAATGCGTTTCGGTTTGATGGGCGGGGCAGCAGTTGTAATCTTGTCCGTTGTATACTTGAGACCTTAGAACTTACATCTCAAGGTGGGTGGCGTATTTACGTTGTGGATGTCTATGGACTCTAGTAACCACTCAACACCAGGTAGGCTGTGGGCTTGTCCACCCATCTAAGCAAAAAAAAAACTTACCCGAGTAAAATGTGTTAATTTTCTTTAATTCCTGATCACAATAATGGAAGAATGTCTCATCAAAGTTTGCAAAGTGTCTAGACAACACCTCTGGTTCCACATTTTCAGCTGAAGGAGCCTCCTCGACCGCTGTGTATAACATTGCTTTCATTTCCTGTTATTGTTTTGACACATTTTAAGAATTTTTTAGATTGTCTTTGTAATGAATGAGATCAGTCCAGTACATTGTACATTTTTTATTTATTATTTATTTCTTTTATTTATTTATTTATGTACACACAGAAAACAAGACACAGTACAGAGTAATAGGAAAATTATGTACAAAGGCACTGCTTATTTCTTTGAGAAATCTCTTCCAGCAGACCTGCGAGAGGATAATGAGAATAATAATAAAAAGTGATAAGTGTGTGCAGAACAAACAACACATAACTAAAATAACAAATTTTTATAGTAATTTTTTATAGTAAACCTGGAATAGATTATCTATCTACCAATCTAAGCAAAGTGCTTTGGTTGGGTTTTGTAGTATGTTAAGTAGGATATCTTGTTTCATAACACAGATACTACATTCACAGATATGCTGACATTGCTGATTTTTATAATCGGTATGACTGTAACAGTATAAGAGATGCTGAATCTTCTATCTTGACATTAAGACCAAAGCAAATAAGCTGGTCTTTGTACATTTTAACATTCTACATGTTATATTGGAAGCTATTAACTTAACAATATACATAGCTGTATGATGTAGGCTGAGAACAACACCACTCCATCATGAAGAAATATTCCTCAATTGAGCATGTTTCAATTGCTAATTGATATTTATTGGTGGTATAGAATATTGTGAGCAAATTTAAAGAGCTCTTAAAATTCATTAGCAAATTAGTTACCTAGTGCTTACATTTGAAATTCAAATCATTGCAATTTAAATGTCATTATAAGATACTCTGTGAATGTCCCAAAATATAACCTAGTTTTGAGGAAAACTAAGAAAAGAAACTTATTAGGTCTATTTTTCTTATTAATTAAACTTATTTTGTTTTTTTTTTCTTCTTTTCAAAGCAACTTAACAAAGAGACATTGTTGTTTCGGCTATTCAGTACTGTATGCCCACATCAATGTTATTTGATAAGTTCAATTTTTTCAAAATTGTTCTCCTAGCTGATTTAAAGACCATAAAATTGAAATCTGACCTTTATTGTAATTTAATTAAAGTTAATTTTTGTAACTAATTTACATTTTTAAATTGCATTTTTAGGAACATTACTTCATTTTTAGTTTATCCGTACTTTTTTTTCATTCATTATTCTCAAAAATTTGCAATATAATTATTACTGGGTAGCTGTGCCAGCATATTAATTTGATTACTACCACTATATTTAATAATAACTAATACTACAATCTAAAAATTTGCAGAGTACAATGTTTACAAAATATTTTTCAGTTATCACCTCTACTTTAGTTGGAAAAATTAGTCATCTTTTCTTTATAACTCTTATTGATAAAAAATATAGTTGGTAGCATCTTGGTGTTGAAACACGAGATAAGAAATAAATAAAATAATAAGTAATAACAGAAGTACCAAACATTAAGTACTTACTTCATAATTAATATACTGTTTACGCCACTCGGGCGTAATATGAGCACTCAAGTGCTCCGCGAATTTCATTATAAAAATTTAAAGAACACGTCTTTCTAAAACGGAGACTAAATAACACTGAAAACTGTCAACAATAAAATTGTTCAATCAACTAAGTTTGTCTATTGATAAAAAGATAACAACGACCTCAATATATGTACTTTTAACGTATTTATAAAACACTGGAATGATTGTAACGACACACTACAAACTTAGAATAATAAACAGTTTATAATTGTTAGTGAAAACCTGTTCTGTAAGTTGTGTTTTTCTCTTTTGGTTTTACGTAAAACACAAAAATTCAAACGCTTTTGTCAAATACATAGACTACCCAATTAATATTTAACATATATCTAAATCCCTAAGTGTATAATCTATAATTTAGATGCTATCGTTGTTATTTCATATTACCATCGATGAATTTCCACTGATTTGGAATTATGTACAATCGGTTGTTATTATTCTAGAATAATTTTCAACATATTTATGTAGGATTTTTTAACAAGATAAAATACGTTAAGGTATAAATCATCAACACATTCAAATTATTGTTATTTTTGTTGAAGGGAATGTAATTTGATTTGAATTTTTAAAGTAAAAGGAAGATGTACAATTTATGTTAATTTTTAAGTCGTTGAGACTGGTTAAGATAAAAGGAATAAATTTGTTACTTTTTAACAGAAAAGAAATGGTTTTCTGTAAAGTCAGCTTACGGACGATATTTTTAGGTGATAACGTCAGAAACATTAATAAAAAAATTGCATATTTCTAGGAATTGAATTTATTTAATATTACTGAGCTATCATCATTCTGTATAATACAAATAAGTTAATTGAAAATTAAAATTTTTTTCGTTACATTAACACTTGGGCCAATCGTGCCTCTCTATCGCTTGTTCCGTGATTTCGCTTTCACGTTCAGACCCAGACGGAACGTGACACTTTTTCGTGCGTGCAGCCGATGTTCATAGATTTATAAGACGTTACGACGTCAAAATTTGTTTGCTTATGTCTACTTAGATACGAAAAAGATATGGATCTTGCTAATATATTATACGACTATTCATCGATGTCAGTCTACTAGTTGACTTGTAGGCCTTGATGCTTTTAATGTAACTTTGTCAACGACTTATTCAGCATAGATAATACTTAAAATTTTAGGGAACACGGTGAATAGTTATGTATATGTTTGACCAACCAAAATGAGCACGATTCACAGATCATTCTGAGGTCATTTTTTTACTATATTTAGAGGTGTACGAGATCATGACGGCCCATCTAGTGTTAAGTACATTTTTTTTTTGGGCCGTGGGCTGAACCTCTTACGAGGTCCCCGTGCCTAGGAGGCGCGAGGGGTATGTGACGATCTGCAAGGTGTTGGGAGCAGACCGCGGGCCCAAGGAATGTTAGGGCTCTACCCACTAAACGACTCCCCTGCACTCTTCGTCCAAGTATCCGATCCCCTCGGATGAGGTAGGGGGGTTACCGCGGTAAACACTGCAACCAGACAGCGCAGCTCACCCCAAGGAAGCCCGGTGGACGGAATCTTAAAGGCGAATCGAAGGCTCTGAAACGTCGGCCGTCTCGGTACGACAGCCCGTCAGGCCGCCCAGACGGTGCCGCTGGTGTTCCAGAGTACTCCGTTGGACCAGAGCCAACCTGTCGGTTCGGGACGCGATACACCGCCAACCGGTTGCTCTATTATAGATACTCCTTGGCAGTGCGCTAGAGTGCTGGTAGCGTGCCGCGCGGCCTCTACCCGCTCAGGTCGGCCTTTGACCTTCATCGGGGGAGTTCACCTCTTACAGTTAACTAAGTACCGACCGGACATAGCTATAGATCAGTGATGGGCAAAGTACGGCCTGCGGGCCAACTCCGGCCCGCGAAAGTATTTAATCCGGCCCGCCGAGAGTCCATGAGTGATTCTCCGAACCCTAAATTTTCCATGTCTTGAGGTTTATATTTGTAACTAACCGACAATCAGTCTGCAATTAATTTTAAAACATACCTCAGACTATTGCCTATCTTGCACAAGTAAATTTTTTTTTATAAAACTATTTATTTAAATATTTCAAAAACATATTTAAAAGCAGTTCTTGTGACTAATATGGTGTGTCCGTAACCCAGTTTCTTGAACATTAGTAACAATAACATTATTTCTTATTAATAAATTGATGTGAATTATAATTATTACGAAATAATATTAGTTGTTTCTTTACACCAAAAAAATTGTACTAATAATTACGATTGTTTATTTATAAATAAAAAAATAATGAGTGTCCGGCACAAAAGTCTGATTCATATTCACTCGAACGTACCCAGCTAAATACGAAACATCAGGCGACCCCTCCCCGCGCTGGCGGTAGTGCTCGGCTGACGTGGTCGCGACGTGACGTGTGGCTGGTTCGTGTCGTCGAGGAGATATAAAGGTAAATATCTGATTCATATAACCTTGGTACACCTATGTTTCTGATTAGTATGTTCGTTTTTATAATTAAGGTAAATTGTTTTTAAACTTGAATCTACGGGAAATATAATGCCATTGGGGAACAGAAACCTATGTATAAATAACAATTCTTAATTGCATACGTGTGATGATTTATCTATGTTAATGGGCACAATTCTAATTGATATGTATCTGATTCATATGTTAAAAATACCATATTAATCAGAATGTCACACATATTGTTAATGAAACGTTACATTGGCGGCACGTTACGCCTGTAACAAGTCATTTCGTATGAACCTAATGTTATTTACATGTCTAAAAACAGTAGCTGTAAATTTCGCAGCAGTCCTAATACTGTCAAAGGGGTTTCATATCTATCGATGACTAAATTTTCTATAATTAGACTATACCTGAAATTAAAACTAATATATTAGTATTAAACTCCGTTCGTCTAGGTAATAAATTATAGGGTAAACAATGAAAAAAAAACTTCATTTAAATGACAGTTTAAAAATAAAATTAGTAATAACATAAATAAAACAATAACGAGTGGTTAATGAAACTACCTACTTACTTAACTATTAATTTTAGCGGTAGTTTATAGGCTCAAACTACTGCTTAGACCAGCCTTTCTCAAAGTGGGTGATAACGCCCCCTTGTGGGCGCTGCAGGCTTAATAGGGGGCGGTAATAGACCCAGAAAAAAATAGGAGCGTTGTGTAGAGGCTTGGGAGGCGATTTGTAATTTCATCTAGGAGAACTCGTAGGCACCAACTGAGCTCTCACTATAGTGGTTTTTAAGTAGGTAGAAAAAATGGGGGCGCTAAAAATAATTTATTCTCAAAGTGGGCAGTAGACAAAATAAGTTTGAGAGCCACTGGCTTAGACGAACAGGGTAATATACTGTAACATTAACTTTTAAAACCGTTAAAATGTAACGTGATAAGCCGTGGGTTCGATTCCCGCTCAAGAATTTTCTTCTTACAATCTTTTACCCACCTTGTATGTATATGTAGTGAAATATTGATTATTCATAATTGAGTTGAAACGTCAAGTCAATAATCTAATATATAAAATTCTCGTGTCACAGTTTTCGTTGCCATACTCCTCCGAAACGGCTTGACCGATTTTGATGAAATTTTTTGTGCTTATCCGGTATCTATGAGAATCGGCCAACATCTATTTTTCATCCCCCTAAATGTTAGGGGTAGTCCACCCCTAACTTTATTTTTTATTTGTTAGACAAATTTTTTTGTTTTTATTTTTTTATGATACAGCATACAAAAATACATACAACCCTAAATTTTCACCCCTCTACGATCAAGCCTTATTTTTTATTTGTTAATTAAAAACTAAATTTTTTTGCAAGAATTTTGTTTTTATTTTGTCATGACTTAGAATTAAAAAATTCATATTACTCTGAAATTTTCACCCTCTACGATCAACCCCTATTTTTTATTTGTTAATTATAAATTTTAAATTTTTTGGCAAGATTTAATTTTTTATTTTGTCATGAATTAAAAAAAAATTTTTATTTGTTAATTATAAATTTTCAATTTTTTGGCAAGATTTTATTTTTTATTTTGTCATGAATTAAAAAAAATAAAATATTACTCTCAATTTTCACTCTTATACGATCAACCCCTATTTTTCCATCCCGATTTTTATTTTTTTTATTCTATACACAGATCCGCAATAAGGTTGCAAGATGGCAATCAAATATTATAATTGTAGTATGATAAATTGTTATTCAGAGTTTATAATTTCAAGTTCCTTTAATTATGATTTTTTTTTAATTCAATTTGATCTCCTGCCCTCGCCGGTCGACTACTGATCAACTATCAATCGATCAGTTATCCCCGCCAGGTGTCACCACTCATCCAGCAAACATCACGTAGTAGGGATGAGGACGAAGCCGGTCTCCTGTCTTACTCACTATACATTTTTCAGCCATGTTTCTTTGATTTTATTTGTGTATCAATAGTATGTTCAGTAGGTCTGAGAATCGGCTACTATCTATATTTCATACCCCTAAGTGATAAGGGTTGTTCACCCCAAACATTTTTTTTTCTACTTCTGCGCATCTAGCGACTCTTGCCAAGTTACGCGCTGGGGATTATACCTCATTATAACAAAAAAAAAAATTATA